GCTCGTTGCTCTTCGTGGCTGCACCGTGATCATCCGGCGGATTGGCTCTGGAGGACAATTGGAGAACCTTAACTGTCGAATCGCTTCGCGAGACAATTCCGTCGACTGAGTGTAATAATAAATTTTACAAAATAAAAGAGAACTTCCAGAAAAAATTCCAAATAGAAAATTATGTTCTTTTTTTGGCAAAAAAGAAAAAAGAATTTAAGAAAATATTCTCAAAATAACGAAGCGATAAATCAAGTTTTCAAACGTAGCACTAAATGAAATCTGATAAATTTGGAATTGACTTCTATTTAGTAAAAACTTGATTCGATCTTGTTGTTTTTTTATAAATTGTGGATATTTAATAATTTTCTCAAACTTTTTCATCATTAATTTTAGAATTAAATAAGATTCCATTGTTTATTTTTATCTTTAAAGTTTAATTAGTATAATCTTTTCGATTGCTGGACATACGAGGATAAATTTTTGTTGTCGAAATATTTTTTTCCTCTAGGAAAATTCGAGAATGAAACATCAAGATAAAAAATACTACAATTCATTGTTATTCCGTCTCGTTTCATTATATCTCACGCGAAGGATCGAGGCGCAATGAATCTTTTAAATCTTTAAAGAACATAAAATGAAATGCTAAAATGAAATCCTTCGGGAGAAGCTTTATAAGGATCCTCGATCGCATCGATCCGGCAACGCTGGCAGCAGTTTGAATTCCCATCGCGTCCTCGCCATTCACCACGGCTCGCCGCTCGTACAACCACTCGTCAACATCGCGCCCTTCACACACGTGTGTATGTCGTGTGAATCGAAGCGAAGCGACGCGACGCGATGCAATGGAGCGAGGGACGCGGGTGAGAATCATCTTCGACGGCAACTTACCGGTGCTACCGAAGACGCGGGTGTCGTCGCGGGATTCGAATTCGAGCGTTAACCCCCCGCTTGTTCACGTACGAGGGACCGCAGTGGCAACGGCAGCGGCAGCGGCAGCGGACCGTGCGTAACGCAACCGTTACTTTGCGCTCCGCTTGGCGATTCTTCTCGTTTTCACGTAAATCGCAAACGCGGCCGTTTTGCTGCGTTTCCCGCGATGCACCATCCTACGTGCTCCTTCGACTTCTCCGTCGTTTCTTCCCTTCCTTCGTCGAGATCAACCATCGAGATCTGATCGATCGGTCTTGGTGAATGCGGATCCGCGCGCTTAATTCACGTGATCATCGGGCGCCTATGACGCCGATCGATCGAGATTGATTGTTCGTTAAGTTCCGGATCTCGCTAAAGCTTCTCGGTCGCGGCGACGCGACGTTGTCGTCGGTCATCGATCGCGAAATCGGATGTCGCCTCCATCTGGAGCGCTCGCTGGGCGCGGTTTTGTTCCACTACGTATTTTGTGCTTGCGTATACGCACTTTCCGCTGCGGTCGCTCCTTGCGCAACCCGTTACCCGTCTTTCACAGAGGCACTACGGCCACTACTACCATAATCGCCATGGCGTACTCGCTGGTAGCGCGCTGACGCTACGCTACACCTACTACAGTCGAGCCGTAGAGCAGGTCACGTGACGCACCCGAGCGTGTACGTCACGCAGGTTGTGAAACAGGTGAGTCCCTCCCAACGCGGTTGTACTGGGTGTCCCAGTTTTATCCTCGCACGTTTCTCTCGACGCGGATTTTCCGACGGACTTTGGACCTTGGTCGATTCTTGATCCTGACGCGCCTACGGTTTTCTAATGATTAGCCTTCAGCCTCCAACGATTGAAAGTAACTTCATTAAATTAAGCTTCGAGAAAAAAAAAATAGGCAGAATTATATTTTTTAGTAAACAATATCGCACTTTTGCCTGGCAAAATTTTAATTACTTCAGTTATGAAATATCAAAGGTTAGAAAGATGGCGACAGGTTGTGATCTTGTCACGTCTCATTTTTTTTATCGGAACGAGTCAGCTTTGTTTTGTTGATCCAAGAAGTTGCGGTTGAAAGAATATCCGATGAGCCTGAGGCATCCTGTATATGTTACATCGCACCATCGTTCGCCGCGATGTCTGCGTATCTACAGGGGCTGCCGACAAATGTGGAAAGTTTCTTGGAACCGAATGGGAAATCTTTTACCCCATATTGATGGCGAGAAAACTGATATCCTGGGAATGCTTTGTCAACTCTGAAAATAAGACTAATGACAGCAACGATCATAATATGAAATCTTATGATCTGAATTCTCTTATTTATATTTCATTTTTCTATATTTTACATAATAAATTATCAATTAAGGAGGTTCTCGCGTTTAATGAAATATAAGACAAGTCTATAATATATATATATATAATACGAAAGTTAATTATATCAATAATATTTAGAAAAAAGTTTATTGACTTTTACGTTTAGAAAATATTTTATTTTAAATATATTGAATTTCACATTATAAATTAATGCATAATCTTATCCCATAGATATTTTCTCTTAATTTGAAAGATTTATATATAAGACAGAAACTTAAAAATCATTGTAAATACAAACTAAATATTTAAGTTAATTCTAGTAAAATTTTATTTAATTTTACCGTACAGTTAGAGAAAAATCAATATTTTTCGATAAAAGGAAATAAAAATATTCGTCAAATGGACAACGCGAGCATCGTGATGTGGCAACATTGTATGCATGACGCAATGGGTATCAATTCAAGTTACTCAAAATTTTGACACATCGTTATTTTTCATGAAATTGCGCGCGTGCAATATCACCAACTTGTGAAAATACAACGTTGCCAAATTTAACAAGAACTAATAAACCAATACATATGTGAAGTAATAAGTAAAAATATAATAAATTTACAATGAAATATATCAATTATATTTATATATTTTTAATTCAAATGTTGTTTATTTTATCATTTTTTAAGGTATAATAGTAAATCAATATCATATTTATATTTTATTTCCTATTGGCATTTGCATCAAATGAGCATTTTATAATTTTTATTTTGTCGTTATAAAAATATTTAATAACATATAAAATTAACAATGATCATGCAAAATGATATTAGCGAATTAGATATTGCTGATAATGCTTTTATATTATTATTTTAATCGATTCATACGGTTTTAAGAATAAATTGTTCATTGACTAGGAAGTATCGCGAGAATCTCCTTAACTTTGATAAAATTGATTTAGATCCGCAAAAGTCGAAGAATTTTCTCGTCGAGTTTTCAACATTTTTATGACATCATTTTCCTAATCATCTAATTAATGGTAATATTATATCAATATTTAATTTAGTATTTACTACTCAATAATATAAAATCTATTCTCAGATGTAATAAACAGGAAAAAAGAACAAGAAATTAAATATAACAAATTAGGAACAGAAAATTATGTGATCAATAAAAAAACAAGTATTCTTAGTAAAACAAGTATTCTTACAAGGGAAGTATCGGAAGTATCCCCCCCCCCCCGATTTTAATGAGCTTCGAGTATGTTAAAATATGGACAAAAATAAGAGACATATATTTTTTTATCTGCGTTCTCGAATGTT